GCGCCTTACCAATGGACGCTGTAACCATAGACGTCACACGTGTGGAGGTCGCTCTACGATCCCGCTTGGTTACAATAGCAATATGTCGATCTTACGCGGGAGTTGTAACCCTTGGGCGACCGGATAGGGGTCTTCAGACAACTGTCTGTGTGGTTTGGAATTGTTTCCATAAACGTGAAATTACAGAATGATGAACGCCGAAGAAAAGAGCAACATCTGTGATCGACTGTCCTGCTTCAATGCGCCCCACAGCACGACAGCGCTCAGAATCTTCCATTCGTCTTCTGGAAGTCATAGAAACACGTATGTCTTGAAAACAAATTGTAAGGAAGCTTTAAACACCTTCTATCAGCACTTACAATCAACTTCTGTAACCCTTCATAAAGCTGGCTTCTTATAAGACTGCCTTTTTGCACATTTCTTGACATGAAAGCACGATTGGCTGTTACCTAACATATTTGCATACTTCCATCTACCTCTGCAGCGAATTGCATCCTCTTCAATTCGGATTTGCTTCCAGAAATAAGCATTTTCCTCTCCGTGCTTAACGTTTGGAAGTGAGTGTATATCATTGTTCTAATATAGGTATTTTGACACAAAATCGGACTTTTTCTGAAATAACATGCCGATTTCTTTCCATATTTCAATTCTGCAGCTGAACTGATGCCTAAATATTAAATGTTGTAAAATGTGGTGTGAAACTTCTCGAGAAATTTAAAAATTTATCTTGGTGCACTTTTTTCAGTTCGCACCAATTCATTTGGCGAAATGCTTAATTTATCGCAACCTATTTTTCGTTACCTTTTTTTGTGCACGAGCGGAAAAAAAGGTGCTAATCATTCATTCTTTCAAATAATTTTAACTAAGTCTCTAAAACACATTTGACATTATTATCGTTTGTAACAAACATGCAAAATTTCAAAACGTGCCAATATATAAATTCTAATATATCTTTGCAAATTTTGAATAAAATACTCTAACTTGTTCCATGTATGCTTAGAAATACACCTTCCTTAAGATGATGGCAAAAAGTTACATGTTTCCGGAAAATATTGCCAAAATTGTTTACGATAAATTTACAAAAGTTACTAAAAAATACAAATTTTAAAATACATCTAGAAATAGTTGCGTATTTTATTTGGATTGAACCTAAATCTCGAATCATGTAAGAAGGATCAAGTAAGTTTAATGAAAAAAAAAAGAGGTATTAATAATTATATACTAAATTCAATTAATATTGAGGAGCTAAATTCTTAGAGCTAATTTTTTAAGAACTACTCAAAACTACTTTTTGCAAAATTTGACACTTTGGAATGATTTGAGAATTACAATCGAACTAGGGAAAAAAATAGGTATGTCAGGAAAAATCCGATTTTATATCAAAATACCTGTGTTAAAACAATGCTATATATAAATCTAATATATGTCTCGGAAACCGACATTGTTTAAAAGGCCGATTTTGCCTAAAAATCTCATTTTTTTTTATTTCACATATTTAAAGGCCATACTCTTAACTATCAAAAACAACTTTTCTTTTCTTGATATGTTTATTAGAAGTGGAGATGTCCTAGCTTCTTTGAGAGACCACAAAGCTGAAGCTTTTGTTTACCACAGCAGAAGCGAAAGTTCAAAGGGCAAACTAAAAATGCAATTTTCGCTCTTTCTTATGTTATTTGTTAACTAATTAATTTTAAGCATTTCAATTAGTTTGGAGAATCTGGCAAAGTATTTTTATTATGAATTTTCTCATTTTCGTTTGGCAACGTGAATAGTTACGTCCTGAGAACTTTAAATGCGATTTCTGCTAACTTTTTTTATGACTTATGTTCACAGTAACCATGATAACCAAATGTGTTCTTACAAAATCACTTGAAATTTTGAGACTTTGTGTATTATTATGCATGACGTAGAATAAAAATTAAAAAATTTGGCTTACAGAATTTAAATTATGTAATTTTTTTCTTCAATAGTGTATGCATTTTTTAAACATTTTTGTATGTTGACTATACACATAAAATAAAGTCAAAAATGTTTTAAACATCATTATTTCCTTATCAAGTGATGGTTGACGTTTTTGTTAATTTCGATGTAAAATTTTCAGTTTTTGCATAAACTTCACAAAATAATGAATTTTTGTGCAATCCAATACAAATTACATAGAAACATAACAAACATTTTGATAAGTCGCACTTTCAAGACATGAAAAACGCAAGTTCAATTTCATCAATCGGCCCACTAAAACAGAAGGTATAGAATTTGTCTCCACTTTTTTGGAAGGATGGTTTTTGGAAGGTGTACGTTCTTAATTATTTCACGCATAACTGGCGGAAATTTTTCAATTTTGATACAACTGTTTATTCATCTTCGTCTATGCTTGCTTTCGGTTTTAATTAAAAATGTGTGTTTAAACGTATTTTAAACAAGGTCAAATGGCGTTTTCTTGTTTCGAGAAAATATCAGGTTAATTGAAATTGAATGTAATACTTTGCACTGCGAAAGCCGAAATATATAAAAGTATATTAAAATGATTCTGAAATCGAAATGTTTGCAGATTATTATAACTTTGACACTATGCTCTTCCTTTTCAATCTCCATTGAATTAACATTTCATTCTTAAGTAAATCAATATTCGTGAAAACATTACAATTAATAATAACTTAAATTTGAAGTATTATTTAGTACTTTGGCATTATGGCAACCACGTTGGCGCAATTTGGCGATTTTTTAAAAAGAATAAGAATGGTAATTTCAAACCGGAGAAAGTTATTTCATATTATACATGTTATTAGGTCATTTCAATTTTAGCTCGATATTTATCCCCGAAAACAATTTATAAAACTGCTTACAAATGGTATCTCCAGAATCTATTTATTCCAACTGACCACAGGCGCACCAGCGGCCGAGCGGTAAAGTCGCTGAACACTGGTAGTTCGGTCCGAGGTTCGAATCCCGCGAACGGGCTGGCTGCATGGGTGTTTTCGTGGTTTTTCCTGATGTGTAACGTGTATACGAGCCAGTTTCCCTTAGAAAGTCCTCCACGAAGGCATCCCTTCCCTTAAACAGATAGCCCTAGTGTGCTTTGCCATAATTAAATACACCACCACTACACCAATCGACCACAGTCTTGGCCATATCTAGTTAATTCTTCCAAGCGAAATTTAACTTTCATTAATTCTTTATTCTAGCAGTACATAGATCGCTGTAGTAAATGGCAGATGACTATTCTCGAAATAATTACCGCTTCGAATGCCAACGTGTTAATTACACTTTTTCACCCTGCATTTCAAAAAGAGTGTTTTCCGCAACATAACATTATTAAATCCGAATGTGAACATCTTTCGTGGCAAAATATTATATTGTTGCAAAAATTTCGCAGAATTTTCTTTATTTGCAGTCAAATCTCACAAGCGCATATTTCAAAATTCAGCTCAAGACCAAAAATATCGCACTTTGCCTCTAGAGCTTCTGATACAACTAAAGCAGCATGTACATTGCGTGAAAAAAAGGGGACAGTTCTATATCTCACCTTCTACTACGCCGATTGACGAAATTCAACTTGCGTTTTTCCTGTCTCGAAAGCGCGACTTAGCATATGTATTAGATTTATATATACCATTGTTCTAATATAGCTATTTTGGCACAAAATCGGACTTGTTCTGAAATTACATTTCAATTTCCATATTCTACGACTCAAGTTATGCCAAATTGCCAAGTTTTGTAAAAAATCGCAGGAGTAGCTTTTTAAAAAATTAGCTCTCAAAATTTTAGCTCCTCAGTGTCAATTGAGGAGCTAAAATATAATATAATATTATAATAATAAATAATATATATTATTTATATCTCTGTTTTTATTAAACTTATTTGATTCTTCCATTGATATTTCGAAATTTAGGTTCATTCCAAACAAAACTCGCATATTTTTTTTGATGATTTATTTTTAAAATTTGTATTTTTAAATATATTTTTATAAATTTTTCGAAAAACATTTTGAATTATAATCTATTAAATATTTACCATCATCTTAAAGAAAATGTATTTCTAAGCATGTTAACAAAAGTTTAAATTTTTTTATTCAAAATTTCCGAAGATAGACGTGAATTTATATATTGGCACGTTTTGAAATTTGGCATATTTGTTGAAAGCGATAATAACATCAAATGTGGTTTAGGCACTTTGTTTAAAATGATTTGAAAGTAGAAACGCTGGGACTTTTTTCCCCCACTCCTGCACAATGAAAGAGAAAGGAAAATAGGTTGCCATATATTAAGAAGTTCGACAAATGAATTTTTCTTGGCGTAAGCGGAATAAAATACCCCAAGTTAAATTACTAAATTTTTACGCAAATTTCCCACCAAATTTTACAAAATTTAATATTTAGGCATAATTTGAGTCGCAGAATCGAAATACGTCTAAAAATTCGTATGCTATTTCAGAAAAAGTTGCATTTTGAGTCAAAATACCTATGTTAGAACAATGCTATATATATATCCTATGTCGCGCTTTCGAGACCTGAAAACCGCAATTTTAATTTCGTCAATCAGCTTCCATTAGAAGGGAGATATAGAACATTTTTTTTTCTCGCAGTGTACGAAAATGGCGACGTTGCTACTCAAACATACAGCTTTCGATACCTATTAATTGAATAATTGTTAAGCTCCTGGTTGCCACAGTTTAGCGTTTTCTACCAGGATGGCAGAGATAATACCAAAGTACCTGTTATTTAGGCATATAATAAAAGTAAAATACAATCAAATTTGCAATTAAAATAAATTATTTTATATTTAAATAAACAATTATTGTACATCAAATCATAGTTGTAATTCCATGAGATTCAATTTGCAAAAATTCTCTAAATGGGCAGAATACATTCTATATTTATTACACATCAAAATAAATAACGTATTAACATTTTAAATAAACAATCATTGTACGTTAAACTATAGCTGTAATGTTATCAGATTCAAAACTTCAAAAACTCTCTAAATGGGAAAAATTCATACCATATTTATTGAAACAGAAATACTTTAATGCAGCTGGATAAGCTTCTTGCCATGCTCTAAAAAATTTGAGTTTACTTCAGAAGACGAGAAAGGAAACATATGGTTATTCTCCATAGTGATATTATAATCAACGAACCCCAATACATGAATGTTATTTAGGCAAATTATTACTGATATAAATAACGAATGTAATTTCAAGACAAGCATTATCTTCTAAAGCCGTGTATCAATTACTTTTTAAACTATAACAGGAGAACTTATATTGATATAAATTATGGTTTCTATGTATTCGAAAACAGAAACTGCAACCTTCCGCCAAGCAGAAAATTCCTGTGCTGTCGATCGACTGTTTCGATACAACCCTTTTACTACGGATTCATAAAATCCATAATCCTTTACTAGATTACTTCCGAAGAACGTACAAGGTTAGTAAAGTCACCCGATTAGTGGAACACCTGCATTTACCAAGCCGGCAGATCTTCGCAGAGATCGATTAAAACATTTATTGACAAAGCTGCTTAAGCACGTTTTATCAAACTCTTTTGTCTCATTTTCAAAGTTCACCGCTTTATCAGATGGCACAGATTGTAAAGTGTCTACACGTCTGACGTCGGATGGTCAGCTCATAGAGGGTAAAAATGCTAAATGTCCGACTAGTTGCGCAGAGACATCTGCGCATTAGCATAATTTCAATGTGCCATGCCAGTCTAGCGCTATTTTGTTTTTGAACGTGGTCGGATGGTGTGGTGTAAAAAAAAAAAAACAGTAATCCATACAAAGTGGTGCCAGACACCAGGGTACCTGGGTATTACTAACCCTACCCCTCATCGAACAAATTACAGTATAGTTTCGAATATATGTGAATTATAACTGAATGCATTAACGAACATATCTTAAAATGTTGTGGATATACATAATTATCAGGTAATGGTACATAATTTTTTAACAGCATATCTCCTAACGGTAACTTAAAGCATTAATCTGGATAGAAAGTCAGTCAAGCACAGAAGCTGTCGAGTGGTAGCGCTGGAAAGAGAACATAGACAAACATGGCAAAACAAAAGAGGTAAGTGCGCTACTTTGGTGCCGCTAAATTGACAACATGCATGATACTAAAAAATAATATATAATACAATAACAGTACAGAAATTTGTAGATTATATATGTATAATAATAATCAGTCATTACACACAGAAGTTAAGTTAGGTTAACACACATAATGGCTCGCGGGCGCTTAATATTCATAGGATTATTTACATCATAGTTATACTTAGTTATCGCAGGATTGTCAATAGCCTCCTGCTTGTCATAAAAATTCCGCGATAGGCGGCTGTAAAAATCCCTGAGTTCCTCAAGTTTTAGCTCCTTGTGGAGCTCTCTATTCCTAACATACCAGGGGGCATTGCAAATTTGTCTAATTGCCCCATTCTGGGCTGCTTGCAGTCTTTTTCTAAGTGATTTTACAAGAGTATGCTCATACCGGGCAGGCATAACTCAGAATGGGGCGTAACATAGATTTGTAAATGAGCAACTTGTTATCTATAGATAGAACGCTGTTTCGAGCAATTAAGGGGAAGAGTGAAGCTTTACTAGCTCGAAACGTCTTCATAATATTTGTAATGTGTGGGTTCCATGTAAGAGATTTAGTGAGGATCACCCCAAGATAAAGGACCTGCTTGACCCAGGGGATGCTTTCTCCATACATCTGCAGGCAGACTGGAAATTTCTTTTTTGTTGTAAACAATATAGCATATGTTTCCTCAACATTAACCTTAATTCTCTACTTGACAAGCCAAGCCTCTAATGCCTGGATGTGTTCTTGTAAGTGTATAGCTGAACCAACAAATGCGCTTTGTGTAAGGATCGCAGTGTCGTCTGCATACATTGCGAGTGTCGTGTTGGGTGTAGTGGGTATGTCGTTCACATAAATGTTGAATAGAGTAGAGCCCAAAAGGGACCCTTGTGGTACTCCAGCCCTTATAGGGCGGCTGGTGGATAATGTGCCAGAAACGTGAACTACAAAGTGTCTACCTGTTAGGCAGGATTTGATCGTGTTAGTGATGTAGCCTGGTAACCCCAGGTTGTGTAACTTGTATGTGAGGGCATCTAGCCACACACGGTCGAAGGCCTTAGCAAGATGGTGTGGTGTTGAGTATTGGAGTGAGTGAATTCTCCTAAACAAGACACAGAAATGGAATTATCTTTCACTCGTAGTCCTAATTTCTTCACACAATCTCTTGAAATAAATGATCCAATGTCACATAAACATCTACAGTTCACAAAATGTTGTTCAGAATTTTGAACTTTAATCACTACAGTGTGGAATGCAACAAAATGTGACTAGTTTGATTACTTTTTGCTTCCGAATCATAATTAGAAGCACAAACTGTAGACGGAACATCCTTCACATTCGCTGACTCATTACTTTTTCGGATAAATTGTGTATAAGGAGACATACTGTTTAAATGAGTTTTTTTTCTTTGAATTGTTTACAATATGCAAAATACTGCTCCTAAAGCAATGTTCATATGTATTTAAACTCTTACATTTTTTGAGCAAGTGCATTTTAGATAAACAATTCAAACAGTAATTATTAGATTTTACAAACTGTATTCTTTGCTGAAACGTTACTCTTATTCTAATTTGCGGTTTTGAAATGTTCTTTCATACTTCTTAAAGAATTCAATTTATGTCGTAAGTTTCGAAATCTCATTACATTTTAGCTGTTTTTCCCACAATAATTTTGTATAAAGATCTAACTTTTGTAAAATTAAACAAGTCATTTAAGTATTTCTAAAATTATCAATGATTTGATTCAATACTTCTAATGAATGAATCATTTCATTAATGCTGTCAGCTAAATTTAAAATAGCAATAGCTGATTCGTTTTGAATAGTTGGTTAACTTAGGGAACGTTTAATATAGGCAAAAAGTTTTTCTCCTTTTGTTTGAATGTCTTCCGTCTAAAAGGTTCCATGCTATCTCTAAATTACAATCCGAAATCTGAATAGTTTGAAATATGCGATAAACTTTAACTTAACGAAGCCTTCAAATATTGCAATTTTTGAGCATTGAATAAATTTGTATTATTTCTTAAGCATGCACTGAACAGATCCTTAAAAGCTATCCATTCTTTAATATTACCTCCAAAGGTTGGTAATGCTAACTTAGGTAATTCAACATGAACCTATTCTGAAATTACACTATCAGATTTATTTTTAGTACTTTGATTTTTTTAATATTTTTTCATCTTTAAATTTCCATAAATTAATTTTATCTGCAAACTCCTGAATACTATCTATTTCGTTTTCTAATTCTTTATTTTCTGTATTTTAAACGTTCAATTTCAAAATCAAGCTTCTTTAATTCAGTTCCTTTTTGTTTCAATAATTCAACGCATTCTTCTAGTATGGAAATTTCCGGTTATGTTTTTACCACCAATCCTCGAATTCCATATCACAGATTATGTTCTTACTGCATTAATATAATATTAACAAGACATAGTGCACAATAAAAATTAAGCTTTATTTAGGAACTTCGCGCACACTGCCCGACAGCCTGCCTGTTTCGCTCTGCTCGCTACTCGTAAGAAATTTCTCCTCTAGGGTTGCCACACTTATCGGAGGGCGCAAGGCGCGCTCCTTATCGCCATCACCACAGAGTTTCCCCCCCAGTTCCTTTAATGACTATTCAAAGGAACGACATAGGTTATGAAATTATCTTAGAGGATCCGTACTGTCGGGTATTTTTTACATGATTACAAAATTAGAATATAAAATTAGAAAAGATCAAAATGCAATTCAATATATAACAAGGTATTGACACATATAATAAACATGAAATAACAAGAAATATGTTAAGATATGAATTTTAAAAAAATGTTTTAAATTGTTATGTAAGAAGCAAGTTTCTTAGGGAAGTGAACATGTCTTCCCGATCTGGTGACAGTTTGTGTCTTAGAGAGTTCGTTTGCAGATTTATTCTGCTGAACTGTCTTTAAGTCTTTATTTGTTTTCAGTTCAGGCAAATTAGAGTCCGAAAGCAAATAGGCTGGTTTCACACGGTCTATAGACACAGTAGATTTCAGACCGTTAACATATCAATTGTGAAAGTTTTGTCCGTTCTAGAAAGGACTTTATGCGGACCTGTATATGGTTGGCACAGAGGTGGCTTTACTTTACTCGATCGACACGTAAGTATACATGCGTACACGACTTTAAGGTAGCACTTACGTAACATTTTTCTTGGCAATGTGCAGATGTTGCTATTGGATTCAATTGTTGCATTCTATGCCTAAGATTCGTGATAAATTGTGTGTCATACGGAGATATCTTAGATGACGTTATCATATCACTAGGCAGCTTGAGAGTTGTGCCGTACACCAGTTCAGCACAAGATGACTGTAGATCTTCCTTTACGGCTGTCCGAATACCAAGCATAACAACTGGTAGTGTTTCAGTCCAGTTATTGGTCTCGTGAGCCTTGAGAGAAGATTTTAAATGTCGATGAAATCGTTCAACAATGCCGTTGGACATTGGATGATAGGCTGTTGTTGTGATTCTGTTCGTACCCAAAATGCGCGTGAAATTCTGCAAAAAGTGCGGATCTCATTTGAGAACCTTGGTCTGTTGTTATGATCGATGGGCAGCCAAAACGAGATATCCAACAGTTGAAGATGGCTCTGCAAATGGTTTCCGTTTTCATATCCGGGATGGGAATGGCTTCAGGCCATCTGGAGAATCTATCTATTAGAGTCAAAAGGTACACGTTGCCTTCTGATGGAGGTAACGGTCCGACGATATCCATATGGATTTCTGAAAAACGTGCATCAGGAAGAGAGAATGTGCCCAGTGGTGCTTTAGTATGCCTAGTAATTTTCGATTTTTGGCAAGATTCACAGGATTTCACCCAATTTTTGATATGACGTTTCATATCGGGCCATACATAACGAGAACAAATAAGCTTCGTAGTAGCTGCAATTCCTGGATGTGACAGATTATGCAGATGATTAAAGATGAGTCTGCGAAAGGAATTCGGAACAAATGGACGAGGAATGTCTGTTGATATGTCACAAAGAATATTACCATCAGAATATTGGCACGGTTTAAATTCCAGTTTCAAAGATGATGTGTTGTTTTTGAGAAGGTCTTGTACCTCCGGATCATGCCGTTGAGCTTCCGAAAATTTTTTAAAATCCAAAAATGGAGATTTTGTTATGGAATCAATTTCGATTCTTGAAAGAGCGTCAGCAACGACGTTTTTTGAACCTTGCACATGCCTAATATCAGTAGAGTACTGAGAAATAAAATCTAAATGGCGCAATTGTCGAGGTGAACATTTATGAGGGTTCTGTTTAAAAGCGTATATTAACGGTTTTTTGATCCGTATAAATTATAAAATTTTCTGCCCTCTAACATGTGTCGGAATTTCTTAATTGCAGAATAAATAGAAAATAATTCCCTATCGTACGCGGACCATTTCTGTTGACTTTTACTTGAGTTTCATAGAGAAAAA